CATAATCCAGGAAGTTAAGTTCGGGTATCTGCAATTATCAAAAGGATCCATGACCTTAGTGTATAATGGTGATATATTCACACATTTTTTTTAAATCAGATAAAAATTGTGACCTCTACAAGGACCACAAGCTAAAAACACGATTTTTCTTACAATCAAGGGCCATAATTCAGGAAGTTACTATCCCATATGCCGAATATCGAAAGGAACCAAGATCTTTGGGTTATTAAATTACATTTCAACTTTCATCAAAATCAAAAGAAAATTGTGACCTCTAGAGGGTCCACAACATTGATATACCATATTTTTTACACTATTTGAGTACGAAGGGCGGCCATTTTGTCTGTCAGTTTTGGTCTGATATTTACGAAATTCGAACCCTTAGGGTGTAATGGTGATATATTCAAACGTTTTTTTTTTAAATTGGATAAATATTATCAGGAAGTTACGGTCCGATATGCACGAATATCGAAAGGAACAGAGATCTGTGGGTTATAAACTTACATTTCAAGTTTCAACAAAATCGGATCAAAATTGTGACCTCTATAGGGTCCACAACCTTGATATACCATATTTTTACGCTATTTGAGATCGGCCATTTTGTCTGTCAATTTTGGGCCGATTTTCACGAAATTTGAACTCGGCCGTCCTTAGGGTGTAATGGTGATATAATAATATGTTTTTTTTTAAATCGGATAAAAATTATGACCTCTATAGGGTCGACAAGCTAAAAACGCGATTTTTCGTACAATCAGGGGCCATAATTCAGGAAGTTATGGTCCGATATGCATGAATATCGAAAGGAACCAAGATCTTTGGGTTATTAACTTACATTTCAAGTTTCAACAAAATCGGATAAAAATTGTGACCTCTATAGGGTCCACAACCTTGATATAACATATTTTTACGCTATTTGAAAACGAACGGCGGCCATTTTGTCTGTCAATTTTGGGCCGATTTTCAAGAAATTCGAACTCAGCCGTCCTTAGGGTGTAACGGTGATATAATAATACGGTTTTTTAAATCAAATAAAAATTATGACCTCTATAGGGTCCACAAGCTAAAAACGCAATTTTTCATACAATCAGGGGCCATAAGTTAGGAAGTTATGGTCCGATGTGCGCGAATATCAAAAGGAACCGAGATCTGTGGGTTATAAACATACATTTCAAGTTTAAACCAAATCGGATAAAAATTGTGACCTCTATAGTGTTCACAAGCTAAAAACGTGATTTTTCATACAATCAAGGGCCATAATCCATGAAGTTACAGTCCGATACATGCAAATATCGAAAGGAATCGAGATCTTGGGGTGATAAACTTATATTTCAAGTTTCATTGAAATCACATAAAAATTGTGACCTGCAGAGTGTTCACAAACAATTGTAGACGTCCTAACGGACGGACAGGGATGACGACATTTCTGGTTGCAGTAAATTTTACTATACACGTTTGTATGTAGTCTATTTACATGCCATAAAAAGTTTTAACCATAAATTACCTTATTTTTCAGTTTGCACGATTTTTTAAGTTAGCGAAAACAGTCAATTAATAAATCTATAAACAAAATTAACAACCGTAATTCAGACAGCAACTTCTAATACACATTTTGGTTGAAATAAATAATCCACATGTAGCTTGTTAATTAGTTTATTACTTTATGGTCCCAATCAAGTATCAAAACACTGCATTTGTTACGCAACACCTAGAGGTCAACGTTTTCAAACATTCTGATCAATCAACCATAACAAAAAGATGGCAATACTTCCCCCAGTTTGACTGTATATACAGGATATGCTCTAATATTGTATTTTAAAAAACGATTGGAAATGTAGACGGTGTTATTGATGAACTATTTAAATGTTCACATCATATCCCAAGTAATTATATCGTCTAGTTCTATCGGGAGCAGATCCTTCGTTCAGTAATTATAAGTTTATGGAACTTTATAATCTTCGCTGAATCCACGGGACAGATACAATACCATGCTGATTTTTATTTTTCATTTCGGCGCCAACGGCTCGGCCTTCAATGTATACCATCAATCAAAGGTCTATATGTGAACTTGCGGGTTTAATCAAATGAAACAATGTCTAAAATGATTAAAAAATAAACCAGATATTGCTTTCGGATGTGGCTGGGTTATTTCAGGTGCCATTCGTAAGAATAAGAAGACAGTACATATATATTTACATACGGCAAATTTGGCTTATTCGCTATATACATGGGGATATTTAAATTGGGGTCTACTTGTTCGATATTTATAAATGACGACATTGCATTTCGTGTGATAGATTAAGGTCAATATTTTTATTTTATTAAATGCAACTTTATCTATAAGTAGCGAGACTATATGGTACGCAGTATAAACGCCAGGTATAGTCGAAAGAATAGAAGACAAGTTGTAAGACTTTGGTCCTTAGGACAATATTGGGTCTTTGAAAAATTGTTGATTATCTCTTTCTATAGAGTCAAATCCCACGTACTAATAAAAGCGAACGACATGTTTATATGTAAAAAAAGATAGGTTGCCAGGCAACGAAACATACGCCCACAGCAGCTAAATCATCCGGGCAGTCAACAAGAGTTGTTGCATATTTTTACTTTTTTTGGTAATGAAACATTTATAATACATTAAAATCTGATTAAGAGTAACAACTCATTAAGTAATTATCAGAAAACCATTAGAATTTGTTTGGTTTTTATAAAGTTCTGCCCCATGCTAACGTTTTGTATGCAAAGCTTTTAATATCATGGATTTAACTGTTCAAGTTCTGTCCCATGCTAACATTTAGTATTCGAAACTTTTAACATCATGAATTTAGCTGTTCAAGTCATAAAAATTCATTGAAAATCAATATACTTGTTCGTCTCAAGACCTTAAACTCTGTGTATGAATCTGAAGTCAATCGGATGATAACTTTAGTCTCTAGAGCGTCACAAGTTTTTTCAAAGTGATCAAGGGCCATAACTTTGGCAGTAATTATCGGAAATCGTTGAAAATCAATATGATTCTTTGTCTCATGACCTTAAACACTGTGTATAAATTTAAAGTCATTCGGATATTAACTTTAGCCTCTAGAGCGTCCACAAGATTTTTTGAAGTGATCAAGGGCCATAACTGTGGCAGTAATTATCGGAAATCGCTGAAAATCAATAAGCTTCTCCGTCTCATGACCTTAAACACTGTGTATAAATTTAAAGTCAATCGGATATTAACTGGAGCATCCACAAGATTTTTCAAAGTGATCAAGGGTCATAACTCTGGCAGTAATTATCGGATATCGCTGAAAATCAATAAGATTCTGCGGCTCTTGACCTTAAACACTGTGTATAAATTTAAAGTCAATCAAATATTAACTTTGGCCTCTAGAGCGTCCACAAGATTTTTTGAAGTCATCAAGGGCCATAACTCTGGCAGAAATTATCGGATATCGCTGAAAATCAATAGGCTTCTTCGGCTCATGACCTTAAACACTGTGTATAAATTTAAAGCCAATCAAATATTAACGTTCGCCTCTAGAGGGTACACAAGATTTTTTGAAGTGATCAAGGGCCTTAGCTCTGGCAGTAATTATCGGAAATCGCTGAAAATCAATAGGCTTCTCCGTCTCATGACCTTAAACACTGTGTATAAATTCAATGTCAATCAGATATTAACTTTAGCCTCTAGAGCGTCCACAAGATTTTTCAAAGTGATCAAGGGCCATAACTCTGGCAGTAATTATCATATATCGCTGAAAATTAATAGGCTTCTTCGGCTCATGACCTTAAACACTGTGTATAAATTTAAAGTCAATCGAATATTAACTTTGGCCTCTAAAGAGTCCACAAGATTTTTCAAAGTCTTCAAGGGCCATAACTCTGGCAGTAATTATCAGATATTGCTGAAAATCAATAGGCTTCATCGACTCATGACCTTAAACACTGTGTATAAATTTGAAGTCAATCGAATATTAACTTTGGCCTCTAGAGCGTCAACAAGATTTTTTGAAGTGATCAAGGGCCATAACTCTGGCAGTAATTATCGGATATCGCTGAAAATCAATAGGATTCTTCGTCTCATGACCTTAAACACTGTGTATAAATTTAAAGTCAATCGGATATTAACTTTAGCCTCTAGAGCGTCCACAAGATTTTTCAAAGTGATCAAGGGCCATAACTGTGGCAGTAATTATCGGAAATCGCTGAAAATCAATAGGCTTCTTCATCTCCTGACCTTAAACAAAGGGAGAAGATGAACCGCCCTCTCTTCTCACGACAGTGATTTTATAATTTTGCTTTAAATTGACTTTTTAATATACAAGGACTTTTTATTTTGTGTTTTACCAATTTTAAGGAGACTTGATATACACGGACGTTTGTATTGTATACTCTTACCAATTTTAAACCCATTAAGTGTAAATAATTTAATTAAAACAACCTGTCCATAATATCATATTTAATGAACTGGACGTTTAATCTTTAATAAACAACAACAATATATCACTGTCTGTACAATATGTATACACACCACCAGTTGACAAGTGTCTATTGACGGTCCAAATAACATATGACTGGCCTAATCATAATCACCAAATTATCGTCTTGCGTTTGTGATTTGGAATATTTTAGAGTGAATTTAAAATGCCTTATCATGCCGTAGATTCATTTAAGGTGTCATTGTTTAACTAGGCCACGAGACAAATGAAGATGACCCAAGCAATTAGTGCATTTACCAGTAATTTGGATAACCTTGTAATACTTAATATCCTAAACTATTCTCTGTAAGTACAGAAATGCAAATGGTGCCAGTCATTTGTCGATATATTCATTATTAGCTATATATAATAATAACAAGACAACAGTGAGGCTGATGTCCCCCGCCGAAATCCCAAAATAAATAGATGACACATATTATTATTTAGAGTCGGTCCGCGAGAAAACCATGCAGAAAGTGATAAGGTGGGGGTCGGCCAAATTCATTCTTACTCAGGTCATAAAGTCACCCCATCCCAACATGCAAAAAACCAAAATGGCCGACCCCAAATATTAACCCCCTCTTAGATATGGCCCTATGTCGATTTTTAGCCATTTTGGGCGAATTTTCGATGAAAATTTGTCATTTTTCAGCTATCAAATTCTACTAAAAGCATCAGGTTAGTGATTATGTCCGATTGTGGGTGGATAGTGGGGGTCGGCCCCTTTAAACCCAACATGAAAGACCAACCCAATGTTATAGTCCTTAGCGGCGGGGGGTCGTTTTCTGTTTACCACTTTTCGCATAGTGAAATGTACCCAATCTTTGAGGTGCTATATCTCGTCTGCAGCAGGGGTTGGGTCGAAATCGGGGGTAAGTATATTGAGTCAACTATATGTCCTAACAATATCGACAATAAAATCCACGGCCGCTAGGCTACAACATTGAGAAAAACTTTGACAAAAATCAGTCACTCAGTCTCGTCGTGAGCAAAAAATGAGAAAAATCAGTATATTGTGTCATTTAAATAGATGAATTGGAACCGAGAGATGAGGTTAAGAGTCCTAATCGAGGCAATTCATCACCCCTTCACCTTTACATGGGGCGCAGGATTGATTGGTCATCAATAATAGTATCCTGTGAGGCTAGGATTCTCGAAATTTTTGTCAATTTTGATATAAAGGATTTTGATAGGTATTTATGAATAATGAAATGATGCGACTCATCTGGTAAGCTCCAATTCAGAACTTTTATTTGCAAACAAAGAAAGGGATTTTATTTTTTACACGACAATCACTAATAACAAAATATTTTTAAAAAGTTCTTAGATCTAGAAATAGGATTTAGTAAGTATAGAGTATGAATTTACTAACATGAGTAGTATAGCGAAATACCGTATTTTGAGGATTTGATTCCTATGCCCGAGAACAATCCCCTCACTCGATACTATTATGCTATAATTTATCGTTCAAATTAGTATGTTCATCTAATCGTAAGAGATTTAGAATAGAATTCAATACAAAAGTGACAAATACAATAATAAGACACGAAAGCGAGTATTCCATCAGCCATCATATCCACAGTATATTATATGAATGATGAACACTTCTTGTCAGTTCCGTTATCGCCGCCACCTGATATGACCCAGATCAAAAGAAGCCGGGACTGGAGACTGAATAGATTGTCTCCAGCATCATCTGAGCGACGGCTTCCTTTAATCCACAGAGCACATAACTAGAGAGCAGATTAATAGTGGGGAAACGTGAGGCAAAATTGCGACAAAATTTACCGGAAACGGAAATAAAAATTCAATGTCCACATCGCGCTCGTGGTGGAATTTTCTGCCTCGTTGCGGACCACAGAGCACATGAAGCTGTTTTTTTGTCCTTCCTTCCACCAATATTGAAAGTAACTGTCTTTTGGTTTGACTAGAATCACAGGCATGATAACACGCTACAAGAGTTTCTACTAAGTCCTTTCCTTCTACAGGGTCAGGTAACACTGCCAATTTCAAAAGTTCCTTATAGTCATTAGGGGCTAAAGACTGCATAAGAAGGTTTATTCCTTCCTTTGCCTTCCTTTTATAATAGCGTAGAGTACTAGGCTGTATTTCATTTAGTGGTTTCAGCAGTTGACTAGAAACTTCTGTATAACCACCGGATTTTAGAAATTGGTTCAGTGCAATCAACTGCTGGTTTCGTGGCACTGGCGTCGGTGCATACGAAATGCCTAGTGGTGTGGGTGGGCTATCACTATGATTATCAGAAGATGATGAAATCTGAAATGAGAAAAAGACGATGGTAAATACTATGTCGAAATTGTTTTTCTACGCAATTCAAATTTATTTGAGGCAATAATTCTTGATCCCATTACAGATGTGGAAGGCTGGACCTACATATTCACCATGTAAAATGCTAAATAATGAAATTAGCAAAATAATAATATTCCTCACCTCTGGTGATAGAATAACATTAGGAAGGTCAAGCGTGTCGCCAGATTCATCCATATTGCTGACTATTATGGCTGTTTCAACAATCTCTTTATCAGGTGGTGGTGGTGCTTCTTGAGAATCTCCTAAAACCATCTGAAAAGAATGTCCCAAAAAGTGAAAGTCAGTTCATGGTATTGAAAGGATGTAGGTAAGGTATAGGCATTATCTATCATGCTAAGAGTATTTTACTGGTAGAAATGTAAGTGGTTTGGTCCCTAGATGATTGATAGGGCTACAAAAATTTTATCTATAATCTAGTCCATTTTAACATTGCCAATCACTACAGAAAATACGTGGTTTTACAGGGCAAAACTTAGAAAAAATACAGCGATTTTTCTATGGATCTCCCGTTTACTTCCGGTTTGGTGCCTGAGACCAGAAGTAAACGGGAGATCACCGTATGTATGTAAAATCACCTATATTATATGCAATGATTTTATATGAACATTACCTGCTCAGGCTGAGGCTGATCTAGTTCTTGTTGACCAGGTTCTTGAGATACTGCTATGATTATAACAGCTTCCCGAGGTTGAGGTGTGGGTGGCATTTTAAGAGAGCTAACCTTTTTTCTTGTGTTCAAGAGCACAATTTCTGTAAATACCTGTAAAATGAATAATTTTAGATCAGTCTTCATAAATGAAATTGTTATGACAAGCAACAATATTTGAAAAATTTATGCATCCATTTTACTAAATTATAATGCATAAAAGGAAGGAATTAGTCGAGGTCGAAGAACAATTAGGTACCTACAATTTGAATCATTCATTTTGAGATTTGTTGTAGTCTACATGAAACTGACGTTTTTGTTCGAGGTAATTGGAGCTAGGATAAGAGCTGAGATCATCCACTTTTTTGCCAATAATAGGTGCTTTCACAACAGGTCCCAGACTGGAAAGTTTGTACTGCGCTCAGAAGATCTTCTGATCCAGAGCACACACAGGCAGTATTTTCAAAATTTACTACTATGGTTAAATTTATGATAATATATCTGATGATGATAGTAAGTCGGAAAGTAATAATACTTTACATACCTGAACCAACTGGCATTTTCGTATTCCAAATCAGGAATACATCCTTGATTTCCATGGAGGTTATTCCTCGCCGTGGCTTCCGTTTTGATGTTTCATGGAGTGGGTGGTTACATCTTCGAGGCGGTATCCACTTAGGGATGTTACTTAGGGTACAAAGAATAAGTATGCAAAGTTTCAAGATGATACGTTACGAAATGCGGCCTGTAGACGACAAACAAACAAATACAAGAAATGGACATGGCTCTGCCCCTGGGGATCATCCATAGGGTATAAGGAATAAGTATGTAAAGTTTCAAGATAATCACTTAAAAAATGTGGCCTGTAGGCGACACACAGACACACAAAAAGAGAATGGGCGTGGCTCTGCCCCTGGGGGTTGAGCATGTAACCCAAACGATAGGTATGTTCCATAGGGTACAAAGAATAAGTATGCAAAATTTCAATATGATACGTTAAGAAATGCGGCCTGTAGATGACAAACAAAGAAATACAAGAAATGGTGTGATTTGTACGTTAATGGTATATATTTCTCAATTTTTAGTAGATTTGTACAAATATCGGTATAATTCTAATTATCGCAACAAATCTAATACTAAGAGGCTCAAATCTGTAGATAAGGTGTGTTAATTAACGGGGGTGAGAAATTGACTGAAAGGTGATATAATTATCGCTAGGGTTGAAAATCTCGGCGACGGTGCGTTTTCTGTACTGGTGTGTTAATTAACGAACAGGTTAAAAATAACTGACACGGTGTGTATTCTTTGTTTGGTGAGTTTTCTCGAAGGCGTGTTATAACTGCAGCAAAAGTGTTTTATCAAGGACCAACAGGCTTTATCTGACGCGTAGGTGTTAAATCTAATTTACTGTGCAATTTCTTGTTCGACCGTGTGTTTTACGCAGATCTGTCTTTGTTAAGTGTAGGTCTTTATACATGGATTTATACGTGGGATAGGTACGTATATCCTTTCTTATACGCATTTCATTTCTCGATGAATATTACGTGTTTTGTACTTCGTACCATAGTCGGACTACAGTTATTCATATATTTGATCTTTTTTGTGGGTTTAATTTGTTTACAAATTATCGTGCGTACCACTGAACTATAAATGCTCGTTTCTTAAAATTGATCACACGCAGTACTGTCATTTCCTGATATCATAACCAACCCCAATTTGATTATCCGATATATTCTAATCGCTATTGTTATCAGATTAACGAATCTGTTTTTGAAGCAGCCATTATATTGTAATCATATTTTCATACAAAACAGCTTTTCGCCGATTTACATGACTTCTTCCCGATATATTCACATTAGAGTATGTTTGGTTCCCTTCTTTCAACAGCTTAGATGACCCTTCTTGGACAATAATTACTCAAACGTAAAGAAATCTAACTCTCGGTCCCCATCCGTTGCATGTATAAATCAAAAGCACGGACTAAGAATGGCTCCATGTGTCGCCTAGCTTGTTCTATTCTAAAAGCATGCAATCGCCTTTGGAAATCACTTTTTTGGTGTCTTTTTTTTATTTCGGTCGCTTTATTTGAAACGATTTTCATAATAAGCCGTAGTGATTTGTGATTTTGTTTTTACTGCCAATTCTGCTTAACTCATCGGGTCCGATAGCTTGAATATACGGGCCAATTAAACCCCTTTCCTATACCGATAGCTTGAATATGCGGTCCACTGATTATTAGTGGCATCCCCGAGAGACTTAAATTCGCGGTGTCTTTGTTGCACTGTTTCCTCGAACCATAAATTGTTAAATTAAAGCCAATTGGCTAACTAAAAGTAGTTAATCCAATCAAATATAGTTTTACTTAGCTAACGAATGATCATAAAAAATGCATACGTCACAACAAAAGTTCAGGGGTTATAAGGTCGTGAACTTTGAGGTAAAATTTTTTTTCTCACTCATCGCCATTTTGTTACGTATATAGATTATTATTGCGCTCTTTTTTCTTACAATATCTTCATTATGGAAAGTGATACGGACTCGGAATTCGAAGGGTTTTTACCTGAAGATATTTTGGATGTTGATATCGATATTAGTAATGCCGTGGGAAGTGATTTTTCCGATATTTCGAGCGGAGAAGACGAGGATCTTGATGTAACAACGGCCAACGAGAACCAGCATGGCGGCCCGTCTTGTAGTAATGAGTTTATTTGGCAAACAACACTAAATCCAGTGACCAGTCCGTCATTTTTAGGACCTGAGCTTGGGCCAATAGATATATTAGAAGAGGGGAAGAACGAGTTTGATTTTTTTTAGTTTGTTTTTCGGATTAAATTTATACACGTTAATCGCTGATGAAATGAATCGGTACCACGATGCTAAATATCAAAATGGAGAGAAAAATTTCAGAAACGTGACCCCGGAAGAAATACAAGATTTTTTGGCCCTACGTGTGTTCATGAGTATATCAACGCAGCCAAGAACTAATATGTACTGGTCGCGAGACTAATATTTCGGTAATTACAAAATTGCTGATATAATGACCAGGGATCGGTTTGACAAAATATCCGAAAATTTCCACACAAATGACAATTCAACCAACCCCGCCAGAGGTGAAATAAACCACGATATATTACATCATGTAAGACCTATTTTAGATCATGTTTTAGACAATTGTTCCAAACGATATAATCCACATCAGAACACTTCAATTGATGAAGCAATGGTGGTGTTTAGAGGAAGAATAGGCTTCAAAAAGTATATGCCTGCCAAGCCAGTGAAATACAGGATAAAGGTGTGGGTGACGGCGGACCCGAACAATGGTTTTGTAAATGAATTCCAAGTGTACACCGGCAAGGAAAACCTGACTGCAGAAATTGGTCTAACATCTCGGGTTGTTTTGGACTTGACAAGAAAAGTTCAATTTCAGAATATGATTGTAAATGTTGACAATTTTTATACTAGTGCAAACTTATTTAGGGAATTAGAAAACGTTGGTATATTGGCCCGTGGAACGTGCAGGACTAAACAGATTTATAAATCTTTAAAAAACAATGTGAATAAATTAATTGAAGATGCTAAAATTAAATTTTACTCTGATAAAAAAGAAAATGGCGAAAACAGACAAAAAGACCTGTATAAAGTTGTGAATTCCCTTTTGGACCATAATGCTGAGCGTACTATCCTCCCGGACAATGATAATGACACTGAACTTGCAAATTTATTCTCTGATTTCTTTCAAATAAAAATACAGAAAATACGAACTGAACTTGATGATTTAAATAAAACTATTGACTTTAACGCTCATGATTTTGATAAGTTAGAAAATTCTGTTTATTTAGAAAATTTTAACTTGGTTAGTGAATCTTGTTTTAAAGCTAATTAAATCGTCTGCTCCTAAATCTTGTTCATTAGATCCTGTTCCGACTTCTGTTCTTAAGGACTGTCTAGACGAAGTTATTCCAGTTTTTACCAATATTATTAATTCTTGTATATCATCCGCTACTATTCCCAATGTTTTCAAACAAGCTTATGTTACCCCTTTAATTAAAAAGTCTACACTGGATCCCAATGTTTTTAAAAATTACAGGCCAGTCTCTAACTTAAGTTTTATTTCTAAAATATTGGAGAAATGTATTGCTTCTCAGATAAAGGCCCATCTAGATGATAACTGTTTGTATAAACCATTTCAAAGTGCTTATAAACAATTTCACAGTACCGAAACAGCTTTAACCCGGGTTTCAAATGATATTTTAATGGAAATTGAAAATAGAAAATGTACATTTTTAATTTTATTAGATTTATCTGCTGCTTTCGACACGGTGGACCCTTCCATTCTTCTACGTAGACTTCAATTTAAATTCGGTATTTGTGGCTCTGCATTAAATCTTTTAGAGAGCTATCTTGTGGGTAGAAAACAGTGTATTTTAGTTAATTGCAAATCGTCGTTTGAATCTGTTTTGTCATCTGGGGTTCCCCAAGGTTCTGTTCTTGGTCCGATTTTATTTACCCTCTATACGTCACCATTAGGAGATATTGTCAGAAAATATGGTCTCAGCTTTCATTTGTATGCCGATGATACTCAATTATATATTTCATTTACACCTAATTGTCCATCTTCTTTCAATTTATCAAAATTGCAACTTGAGAACTGTATTAGTGAAATTAGAAAATGGATGTCAAAGAACTTTCTAAAATTGAATGATGATAAAACCGAATATTTGTTATTAGGCTCAAGGCATCAATTAAGTAAATCTGCACAAGATAACCCCCCTGTTGTAATTGGTAATTGTGATATATTTTCATCTTTCATCTGAAACCCAAGGACAAAGATGTAAAAAAATGGCGAAGTGGGGAATATAAGATAATGCAAGCCTCAAATTTGACAGCCGGCATGCGGAAAGACAAGAGGATTGTCAATTTTATGTCGTCTGCCGATTCACCTTTATCCACAGTCGAAGTACAACGATAGCAAAAAGATGGTACGGTAAAAACTGTCAAGTGCCCAGTAGCAATCAAAGAATATAATTCAAACATGGCTGGAGTTGATAGGTCAGATCAGTTACGTATGGAATATCCAACGTACAGAATGTAAAAAAAATGGTGGCTTTATTTGTTTTATTTTTGATTTGACTTGTGTATTTCCAATGCCTTTGTGCTATATAAGGAATCAAAAAACCACGTAAAAAAAACTAAAAACGGCAAGATTCTTCCAATATCATTGCTTGAATTTAAAATTAATTTATTTAACAAAATGATCGGAAACAAACGGAACAGGAGAAAAAGAAAACGGGTTGAATCTGGAGAAGATGTACCCACAGCGCCAGGTGGACACTACCCAATGAGAATGGCCAAAAGAGCAAGATGCAGACAGTGCAGCAAATCCAAAAAACGTGCCGAAACGAACTTACAGTGTGACAATTGTTTGGTATATTTGTGTGCTACATTCTCTAGAGCTTACCATGAAAACTAAAAACTTTTATAACAGTGCTATTGTGAGTTTGTGACTCTTAGCAGTGCCCTAAATTATGCTAAATAGAACAGTAGGATTATTGAACTGTGCTAATCAATTATAATTTATTGTGAACTAAATGGATAAATTGTACAATCAGAGTGGTAATTTTTTGGTACATTTGTGTGCTACATGATTCAGAGCGCACTATGGATCTTAAAAATATAACAGTGCTATTGTGAGTGCTCTAAACAAATGTGATAAACAGAACAGTGCCATTGACATCTTGATTGATGAACTTACTCAGTCATCAGTGCTAATCATTTATAATTTGTTATGAACTAAAATGGCTAAATCCACACTGATAATTCTTGTAAACCTTTAATAATATTATGTATATATTTGGACTAATTATTTTTTTTCAAATTATTGACTTAAAAAAGACATTTTAGAAAGAATTATTGACTTGCCAAAATTTATAATCTTGTAATGTGACTGATTTTTTACTTTAAATATGTTTTTTTATTAAAGAATAACTCTGTTGTTATTTTGTATTATTGATTAAATTTTATACCATTGTAATGCCTGATTTTATATCTGCATTTGATAATATAAACATTTTATTGCCCCTAATATAGTCTGGCAGCAGTTATATAACATCTAGGTCAACGTTGTTACAAGTTGGTGATCAGCGAAGCGTATAGTGCGTGCTCTGTTGTCAGTTTGGTGATTATAATTAAAAATGTAAATTTCTACTATGTGAATTGGAAATTCCTTTTAATAATTTAACAAATCCAGGAAGAAAAACAACCAAACAACAGATGATCTGTTAATATTATTTGAAAAAACTTTAAATTTTCCAATAAGAGATTTTTTTTGATTTTTTTATTAAAATATGCTATAGAAAAATATCATAGTCCGATGATTTAGCATTAGTCCACGTACGCCGTGATAATGTCGGCATAGTAGCACAAGCATTTCTCCTTTTCAATGTCATCATGTATTTCTTGGCTTTATATTTCTTTGAATAATTTGAATTACAACTTGATAACGTTTCCCCGTCTTCGCCCTGCCCAGTCTTAAATTCCACCCATTGACTATGTTTCTTTTAAAACTCCATAAAATTCCACAAACTATCATTATTGGAGAAAAGCTATATGCGTGTAGCAGCGAATGTCTTGGCTAATACAAATTGCCAGTTCGATGAAAAATAAAGCACACAATTCATACGTTACGATTTAATTAAAACATTTAATTAAAACATTTAATTATGAACGCATATATGTGACAACAAATAATATTTGACAACAAATAATAGTATTGCTTATACTCTTTATCTTGTCTAGTTCATTTCTTTGTTTGAACATTTCTCTGATTACAACATAATATAATGACTTGGACAGTTTTTTCGTTTCAGATACTAACCGAAATTTCCTCTGAGAAAAAAATGAAATGTATATAATATATACATATTATGTTAATAGAATATCAAACTTTATTTAAATGAGATGCTCGAAAAGTGAACCACACATTTATCCATTGCAATAAGATCAAAATTGAATATACCACAGTATTCATCCACATTACAAAATTGTCCTTTTTGTTGTACTTATTGAAATAAACTGTTACAATTCCAACCAACTTTATCAGCTAATCCATTCGAGCACCAGAAACAACTTGCCTCTCAACATCAAAGAGCAGAGCTAACTGTGTGTGCCTCCCAACATCAAAGAACAGTTCCGTGTGAAAAGCGTGTACAAACCGACTAAGAACCTGTGGTTTCTTAGTACTGTGGAGTAAAATAATGAAGCTATTTCATACAATGGAAAACAAGCGGCTATATGAACAAGCATCTCAATATTAGGTCATATATCAGTATTACTCTTTCAAAGACGAGCTAGTTACACAGAGTTCGATCGAATCTGAATCATATTCAGCAATGGGCAATATCACCGTGGGTGGAAGCGGGCGCATGTCCCTATTTTCATCAGTTTTATTTGATATGTGAGTTATCATTTGTTATATATAGTGAGGAAATTACTTTTTCTCGGTAGTCCTATCTATGACCCAGGGAAGAAACTATACATTTATATATTAATAAGCCAACGTGTAGTAAATATAGCAGTGACGAAAACTTACATATTTTCATTAATTGTGCAATTTTACATTTATAAACTTGCTTTCGAAACAAGATTTGTTAATCTGATATCAATGGAGATTAGAATATATCGGATAATAGAATTGAGGTTGGTTATGATATCGGGAAATGACGATACTGCATGCGATCAATTTTAAGATACGTGCATTTATAGTTCAGTGGTATGCACGATTTTTTGTAAATAAATTAAACCCACAAAAAAGATCAAATATATAAATAACTGCAGTCCGACTATGGTACGAAGTTCAAAACACGTAGTATTCATCAAGACATGAAATACGTAAGAACGCATATACGTAACTACCCCGCGTATAAATCCATGTATAAAGACTGTACGCTTAACAAAGACCGATCTGTGTAAAACACACGGTCGAACAAGAAATCGCACGGTAAATTGGATTTAACACCTACGCGTCAAATAAAGCCTGTTGGTCCTTGATAAAACACCTTTGAAGAAGTTATAACACACTTTCGAGAAAACTCACCAAACAAAGAATACACACCGTGTCAGTCGTTTTTAACCCGTTTGTTAATTAACACACCTGTACAGAAAACGCACTGTCGCCGAGATTTTCACCCCTAGCGATAATTATATCACTTTTCAGTCAATTTCCCACCCCCGTTAATTAACACACCGTATCTACAGATTTTAGCCTCTTCGTATTAGATTTGTTGCGATAATTAGAATTTTAGCGATATTTGTATAAATTTACTAAAAATTGAGAAATATATACCCTAAACGTAGAAATCTCACTATTACTACTTCTCAGTGAAATTTTTCAGGTTTAAAACAGGACGATAATCATCAGTCTTTTTCTAAACTAAAAAGATATTAGGAATAAACTGATTGGTATGAAAACCAGGGAAAACCTGGACATAAAGCCTTCTTACTCAACATTTAATTAATCAACAAACTCCATCTGCTCTTAATTATATAGAGGTGGTTAGGCAAGCGAAGTTGAAAGGGTGGTTGAAGAAAACTCAAACCGGTACCCTCTAACTGTATTAAGAATCCAGTTATCTGATGTCATGATAGACCAAGTATTCGAAATCTGGCTGGCTACAAAAGTATTACCTACAGCTGGGTTGTTGCTGCCCTGAAAAAGGACGCCTGTAAATGGACTTCTGCTTAGTACCCGACACAACCTGATTACCAAATAATACATATAATACACAACTGATTGACTGATCTATCTCTCAAACATAGTCATATCTGGCCCTAATAAAGTCATATCGACTGGCCGATTGGAAGAACAGAGTGGGTGATATCAACGACTTAAATAGCGTTTAAGGGAATTCTTAAGTTTTAAAAGACAATTCCAAATGCGTATTACCCAGGATCACTTACTGAATCAGCAATACAATTTTTCGTGTCTTAATCCAGATTTTTTGACAGCAATGACAATAAGGGTGAAACACCCAGGCCCATTATCTTCTGTATATCCTGAATAGCCGCATCTTGTGACTACTTGACGGGGTAAAACTGACCAAATGTCAGTATCCACCTGAGGGGCAACATATGGCCACATACATTTGTAATTTTCTTTGAATAGGGTTTTTAACGACCAGTTAATCGATCTCAACACGCTTTATGGTAACCATATTAACTAGTTTATAGATTAACGATCAAATCATTTATTGCACTGTCACCCTGAAAAATGGAGGAAAAAACAAAATCATTGAAAACCTGGTCAGGACTAAAATCATTATACATGTACTGTTGATTCAGGGTCAAAAATTATGAACCATAGGTTCCATAGATTGGTCTGAACAATGTGATGCATTTGCCTGATGAGTCTAGTGTTCATCAATGACCCCGTCTTCATATAAGCCCAGTCGGAGAAGAACAGTAGGAAGTTAAACCTCATTTCATTTCATTTTATTTATCATCAATGACTTTAACATTAGTGTCTGTAAACAAAATCGTTAAAAACATAATATTTAATTGATTTTAAAATCATCTCTTCTTACATAAGTGTTATAAATTGGTAGGCTGTGTCATTTATTTCATTTTCATTTGAACTATATAGTCATATATAATAAGACTATTATTACTAAAACTACCGGTATAGGACTTAGATTATGCAACAGGTCTATTATCCCTTTGTCGGCGGTAGAAGTAAAAGCATAATGATTTCCATTAGAATATACACTCCTAACAGAGGACATGTGGTCCCGTAGATGGAAAAAGATGATTATCAACACCAAGATTAAGGCGTGTAGAAGCGACACGGTTATTACCGACCTGAAAATGTCAAAATGACTGCGGTCAACAGACAGATCGGGGTAGAGTGAAATTAATGGTGAAACAAAAGAATCTACAGTATCTGTAATGGCAAAACCACTCAGCCTGAATTTATCTACCTGATTGGGACATTTACGAATCTTGTTTTAGTCACAAGGTTTAGAAGGCCCTTTACCTTTCTTCTTTTTCTTTTAAAAAATACGATTTATTACTGTCCTCTCAGACGCCTCGTTACCGGTGTAAACATCTGGTTGAGATATTTCTAATGTGATGGCGTTTTTGTTTTTACCGATCGTATCCTCATCAAACAAGAGGTATTACCTTCATCAAGGATAAGAATGTCCGGGTCTAAAGGGTTTATAGAAACAGACTCTCCGGACAAAACCCTCAAAATCATCGATTGGAGATTTACTAAATTCAACATATACAATAAAGCAATAAACGGATGTGAAACTACGCCACCAAAAAATCATATATGGACCGGCACAGAGTACATGTCGCGATCACGTAAAAAAGGAAATGAATCTACGATCCAACAAAATCGCAAAGTAATAATATACGATATTATATGAGTAGCGTACCACTAGTCATGGTCTAGATCAAAAAAGAAAAAGACAACTAGTGCCGAGTCTTACCTCTTATTTATAGTCAGGTGTATGTTGACACAGTGCTGCACGTGCAATTGTGCTATTTTTAGACTTTGAATGTTGAGTTAGTTTACATATTTATTTAGATCAATGAGAAATATGCAATTTAAATCGGAGATGCCCAAAGGGCATATAATGGAATATAAACTAGTTCGCCATTGGTCGATTAACGGATGTAGCAATGCTACAAAAATGGTTGAAATTTGACCTGAAAATGACGAAAAATCAGCCGTAAAACATAACCAGGCTGTATCTCAGAAAAGGTTGATTTCTAAAATCAGCGATATTGGCTGGGGAGTAGCGCTCGATGGGTCGACCAAACCCTGTAAATATGAAATCAATCGGCCGACCTGCATCTTCTAACCTTCTGAATGTTTTTTTTTGTGGAATGGCTCTTAACCGATTAAGTAAGTCATTGGTACCTATTCTGAAAATTTTGTCAAAATCGGTTTCTAAACAAATATTCTGTGCAACTTTGAAAAATGAATAATGTGATAAAAGTATGGCATGGCACCTTTAATATCTGATCCAGTTTAAATGTTAACCAAAATATGGGTGTAGTGCTTCTAGAGTGAAAATAAGATATTTTAGTAAGTAATAGTTTGCCTTCAATTTAGTATGACAGGTCATTTGTCTACATGTCTTCATAATAAAATACTCCTATTATCTAACTTTTGAAAACAAAGTCAGATTTTCAACTTCCTTATTTTTTCCTTATTTAAAAAAAGTTTTGCTCCAATTTTCACAAAATTTGAACTCAATCATCATTACTGTGTATCGGTCTGATACATGCCAATATCGAAAGACACCAAGATCTTAGGGTTATAAACATACATTTCAAGTTTCGTCAAAATTGGATATAAACATACATTTCAAGTTTCGTCAAAATTGGATAAAAATTGTGACCTCTAGAGAGTCCACAAGCTAAAAATATGATTTTTTGTACAACCAGGGGCCATAATCCATGAAGTTACGTCTTGATACATGCCAATATTGAAAGGAACCAAGATCTTTGGTGTATAAACCTATTTTCAAGTTTCATCAAAATTGGATAAAAATTGAGACCTGTGGAGTGTTCACAAACAAAATGTGTACGGACAGACAGGCGGGCAGACATGAGTGACTACAATATACCTCCATATGAAAAGGTGGGCGTACAAAAAAGCATACAATAAGTATAAGGGCCATAATCCAGGATGTTACTGTCTGACATGTGTCAATGGCAAAAGGAATCAAGATCTTTGGGGCATAAACATACATTTTACGTTTAATCAATATTGGATAAAAATTGTGACCTTTAGAGTGAAACTTTAAATATATGTTTATATCCCAAAGATCTTGGTTCCTTTCGATTTTCAAGCATATCCAATCATAACTTCCTTGATTATAGCCCCTGATAGTGATATCCCATTTTTAGCTTGTGGGACCCTCTAGAGGTCACTAATTTTATTCGATTTTAAAAACCGTTACAACATGACAGTTGTGTTCATGGATTGACTCCATGGATTATGGCCCCTAATTGTATGAAAAACTTGTGTTTTTAATTTGTGGACCCTCTGGACCTGCATATCGTACCATAAGTTCCTGGATTATGATCCATGATGGTACGAAAAATCGTGTTTTTAGTTTGCAGACCCTCTAGACGTCACAATTTTTATTCGGTTTTGATTAAATTAAAAATGTATGTTTACACTTCAAAGATCTCAAACCATAAGCTAACAAGCAGTTGCCATGTTAATCTCATCAATTAATTAGCACCTTAGTGCCAGCTAGTGGTCAGGAGATTAAGATTGTTGATTGAATAATCATCAAAGAAGCCGCCACAGCTGTATGCGTATTCATTTAACATGTGAATTAAAATAAGATTTTGCATGTACAATAGGTCTATTATTATTTTCAGGTACCGTGACGTTATCAAAATATGAGTCGCTATAGAAATGTCAATTTCATAGTCAAGAAATGCTTACGTTCACTTTCGTGCATTCATTAATTAGCACCTTAGTGCCAGCTAGTGGTCAGGAGATTAAGATTGTTGATTGAATAATCATCAAAGAAGCCGCCACAGCTGTATGCGTATTCATTTAACATGTGAATTAAAATAAGATTTTGCATGTACAATAGGTCTATTATTATTTTCAGGTACCGTGACGTTATCAAAATATGAGTCGCTATAGAAATGTCAATTTCATAGTCAAGAAATGCTTACGTTCACTTTCGTGCATTTGGCTTTGATGTAAATATCAACATGATTCAGAGGATACTCAATGGCAGACTCGAGAATCGTTGCATTTCGGCTCGTTGGTCATTCTCATTTTTTCGGCCCATGGTGATAAGAGAATTTTAAACAATAATATCCAAGATGCATTCCTTAATTTACTTTGCATGCCGTATGAAGAAGCGACAGTAAAGTGAATTCATCTATCAATAAAATTCTCTTCGAAAGAAAATTATTGGCCATTTTTTTTTATGTCATTTAAGGCCTATAAATTATTTTTTGAAAGATGATATGAGATATCAGATAATCACTGCTTGGATTAATTATTCGGAGTAAATAATGAGCTGTCGACGGCTTTATCATTGACCCGTGACAGTTGATTAGTAATAGTATTACTCAATGACACACACCCGCTTGTCGATTAATTTACATAATCCGCCACATGGTTTCAATTAACTCTCAACGGCAATCTATATACGATCAGAATTAATTTTTTTTCTGCCAATTATCAGAGTGAATCGCATGTAGGTACCAAAAACGTTATCGCCAAAACCAAATATTCATCGATAATGCCTTGCACGCAGTGTCTGGGCCAATCAGCAAACGAGTTGTGTAGACAGCATGGCAACAGGCGGAGTTTATTTATATTTTTTAGGGGTTTTAAAACTTGATTGTATCCGTTCAAAATCAATTCATCGACAATATTTTGATCATATTTGTAAACTAGAGATGCGCCGCTTTACAACGATGCCAATTATTATGCAAGAGGAACGACCGGTTGTCCCGCTGCGAGCGAAGAAAAATAACTAATTTCGCCGCGAATTTTAAGAAATAGGACAGACTTAAGAATACGGTACTCTTACAAAACGTTCAAATACAGGTGTTTTAAAATGTTTTATTGCTATTTTGATCTTTTGTGTCGGTAGATAGTATATTTATAGACTCATTTGTGTGAAAATCTCAATTTCGATCAAAATCAATATTTTCACTGATTTTGTCTTTTTCTCATTATTGATTCGTGTGCATTTCGACTCATTTAGCTGTGGCCAGTCACATATTTTAAGTTTCATCAAAATCGGATAAAAATTATGACCTCTAATTGGTCCACAACCTTGATATTACATACTTTTTGACAGTTCGAACTCAAACTTCAATACGGTGCAACGGCAATATATTTGAACGGTTTTTAAAATTAAATAAAATTGTGACTTCTAAGAGTGCCCACAAGCTAAAAACGCAATTTTTTATACAATCAGGGGCCATAATCCAGATAGTTACGGTCTGATTTGCGCCAATATCAAAAGGACCTGTAGAGTGACCACAAACAAAATGTGAACGGACGGACAGGGACGACGACAATATACGTCCACATGAAAATGTGGGCGTATAAAAGTTAATTTAAATTTTACTGCCTTTTCATCTGAAGTTCTACACCTTATTGTGGCTTGTGTCATATATGAACAACACTATTGGAAATGTATTGTATAAATATTTACCACATATACTTACAGGTATCTCAATATCATCATGTGGAAAATTGAGCATTTCACGTTGAGGGTCATTATGCAACAAAACTTTGTTTTTGACAATGTATGTTTCATAATCTATGGGTTCTGCCAACTTTGGTCTTGCCTGAAAAAAACAAATGTAATTTAGAAAATCAAATAATTAGATAGAACAAGCCAACAGCGAGTCTGATATCCTCCACCGCAATCCCAAAAATAAATAGATGACACATATTTTTATTAATCGCACATTTATCTTTTAGAAAAGTATCGAGCAAGCCAATCAAACTGATTAGGTATACTTAGTCTATTCAGAAAATGTTCACGATCGAACTCAGTCAAGGTTTTGAAGTACCCGGTAGTGAAACTATACACTAAGTTTCATCACTCTCAACAAGTTAGAATCAAAGTTATCTTGTCCCAAAGCATCAACCAATGAAATTGCTTAGCTCTGCACTGCTTAGCTCGACAATACTATATACCGGAAAACACAGAAAAACACTGGAAAACAACTGGAAAACTACTGGAAAACACTCTAAATAGCGGAAAACACCCTAAATAGGTAACCCGGAGCCTGGTCCTCTGTGTGCGGGGGGTTAGGTTTAAGAATTTGGGGGATAGGTTAAGTCTCCACCATAAGCACTGACCTAGGATGATGACAAATTAGTTTGTGGTATTTCCTAGTTTTATTAATAACAATACATACAATACATTAGATTTATATACAAAGGTAATTTCACTGTTTTTTGGTGTTGGTGGCGCTGATGGTCTTCCTTGGATGGTGCTTCTGGTATTCTGGTATTTTTGTTTCTGAAGAAAAAAAAATAAATTTGAGGCTCTCGGGTGAGAGCCACATTAATGTGTTTCCTACTACGAATTGGATTTTCTAAAATGTGTTTGTTCCACATCACCGGGTTAGCGCTAGGGATTCTTATATCTAGTTGATTTTATTTACAAACGGTTAGGGATAAGATTTAAGTAGTAGTTATTAGCACACTTTCCTTGGTGTATCGGTGAATATCAGGACAGTTTTGGTCGAGGGGCCCAGCCGTGGCGGCTCCCGACCAAAACTGTCCTGATATTCACCGATACACTGAGGAAAGGTGCTAATAAGTTACTTACATCACATTTCTATAGAGTATTGTGAAGCAAAATGTGAAAAATAGTATTTATTATCGAGTCGTTTCAACCGAAAAGTGACAAATACTTTCTGCTCTTTCATTATTTATCCCTTTCTGAGCCTCACGTTACATTTCATGGTAGAATGATTTCGCAGTGGAGAGACGACCTGAGTAGTAATTACACGTGCGTCTTGCTATGATACTCTGAGCGTAAAACAATCACGTGTTTGTTTAGACCACATCGTCAAAACAACTTGTCTATGGCGTAGAGGACTGCGATATTATTAAATGTAGTGTAAAGGAAATGCGAAACGTGGGTCATTCCTGGTGAAAGTATGCATCGACAGATGGTTCTTCTGTTGAAATTTATTTGTAATAAAGTTTATGACTTTCTAGGCGTTTTTTTCATCCTGCTTATTTTCATTGCCTGTGAAGTGTCCAGCAAGAGAACTGCGCCTTCTATCATCACAATTAATTAAAATAATTATTCAATATTCTAATTTATATATTTTGCATATTAATATAAATCAAACCAAATTATGAAATAGATGCCAATTGATATGTATAATAATTGATTTTTGTAATATGTTAATTTAATGTCATTGTATATGTTTTTGAACTGCCATGTAGTTCCCGCCATTTTTTTTGTTACTATGATTTTGACTAGTTGTTTCATGTACATTGTATAGTGCCATCGTTATCAATTGCGATCTGGGTCGGACTAAACGTCCGCTACTTACTGCTTGATAGGTATCTAAAACGGTATAAAAGTATCCATTTATCAGAAATGAACAGTACTCTTTCTGTACATTTCTGATACACGGATACTTTTATGCATGTATTGCAAATAAACAGGACAGTTTTATCAAAGGTTGCCATTGGCAACAAGTAGATGTGGGATGTAATATATGGTTTGTTTTGGGTTAGGGTGGAGACTGGTCTTATTTAATCTAATTTACTGTGCACTAGGATGTCGTTCAGATTTTTATTTTTAGAATATGCAATTTAAGTTTCTGTGTGAAGATTTTCGGGTGATTTTCTTGGAGATCAGTATAGTGTTTTCTGATGATTTTGGATGCACTTGCTGCTGTTGCTCTAAATGGAACTACAAAAGGGGCTATTGCGCTAGCCGTATGAATTTTTCTCTTGTTAGCCTAAATGTTTTAATTTCTTCTGTAGTTTCAAAGTCGCTCGTGGTCTTTTCTATTGGCGTGACAATGAGATCAGAAATGTCATGATTTGGTTGGTTGAAATGAATTTAGACCAGTTTGTCTTTTTTGGTGACTATGTCTGACCGGTGACTGTTAATTCTTTCCCCAAGTGCATTTTGAGTCTCCCCTACATGTATGTATTGTTTGTCACATTGTCTACACGAAATTAGATAAATTATGTTTGAACTACTGCATGAAAGTTGGTCTAATATTGGGAAATGTGTGCCAGATGTTTTGTTATAGAAATGGTCGGATATGTTTATGATTTTGCATGTTTGACATCTCTGATGGCCACAAGTTTTGGTTTTAACTGCTGATTGCATATTATTTGTTCCTTTGGCGGAAAGTTCTCTATAGTGTTGTTTTTTTATACGTCAGAGATAGCGTTTGGAGTATCGCCTTTCTCTTAGTTTGCTAAATACCAGCGTACATGCTGACTCAAAGTCGGTCTTCTGAGTGCATATCCTACGAAAACAGAGAATCTGAGATTTTATGATGCCAGAGAAGGTATGTTTGGGGTGAAAGGAGCTCTTGAACAATAATTGATGTGTATCAGTTTCTTTGAAAAATACTTTAGTTTCCAGTTGGCCTGTGTTTTTGGTGTTGCTACTTTTAAAGACAGTGGTGTCAAGGAAATCTATGCTGTTATGACTTACATTTGTGGTTAATTTGACAGATGGATGATGATTGTTCAGAATGTTGAAAAACGTCCAAAATTCGTCTAGCGTGTACGTCCAGACTATGAAAACGTCATCTAGAAAACATCCATAGAAATCTGGTTTTAATGGGCAGAGCGGTAGAACTTCCCTTTCCCACTCCGCCATGAAGAGATTTGCATAACTCGGGGCAAATCGTTTTCCCATCGCAGTTCCGGAAGACTGAAGGTATACTTGGTCGTTGAAATCATTCCTCCTCAGACAAATGTCGAGCAGTTTGAGGATTTCTTCATCCGGCCTAGATGCTTCTGGGTTCCTAAGAAATGCTTTCCTAACTGCTTCAATACCTGTGTTATTATCGATGTTCGTGTACATGCTCTGTACGTCGATGGATATTAAAATGGTGTTCAGGGACTATTAACTGTTTGATTTTGTGAATAAAATCGTTAGTGTTATTTAGGTAGGATGGGTGTTGGCATGCTAGGGGTAATAAGAAATGGTCTATATATTGTTATACGTTATATGATTCGCTGCCACAGTCTGATGTTATTGGGCGTCCCTTGGGTAATTTATTAGGTATAAACCATTCCGTTGCTGGATTTTTATGTATTTTTGGTAGCGTATAGAGATGTCGTTGTCGACAGTCAGATTTAGCGGGTAGATAATCATATTGTTTTGCTGTTATGTATTCCTTGTCCCGCAATTCATGTAAGATGTTGTTTATTAAGGTTGCAGTGTCCTTAAAGATGGGTTGGTCTAATTTAGTGTAAAGTTTAGGATTATTTAATTGTTTTTCTGCCTCAGAGATATAGTCTGCGCGATTCATTATGACACAACACAAACCTTTGTTGCTTTTCTTAATTATGTTTTTGTCTTTTTTGAGGGTGTTTAATGCTGTTTTAGTTGCTCGGTTGAGATTTGGTTTTTGTGATTGTGGTTGAAGGGATGATATTTGTGTGTTCATTTCGTCGAAAGTTTTTAGAATGGCTGGTGATAATGACTATTTAGGTGGTTTCCATGTGGATTTTTCTGTGAATAATTTTTTACCTCTGCCGGGTTTGTTTCTAAAAGAATAAGTCAACGAAAGTGTTCTTTGGAACGATCGGTTGCCTGGGTGATGGGGTCTATGGATATTATTGTGGGGGTTGGGATGAATTTAAGACCTTTATCAAGAATGTTTATTTCTAGGGGGCTGAGAAGTCTATCGCTCAAATTGACAACTGTCTGTCCTAAAGACGGCTTCTCATTCATTTTCCCTAATCCTAGTTTAAATTCCTCATCCAGCAGTTGATGATCTCTCTGGCAGTGTCAGGGCTCCAGTGGATGGCGTCGTTACCTTTCAGTTCTATTTTGCCCTTGAAGGTTGGTAATGTGGTGGTGTTTGGTGAAGGTGCAGTGGAGATCAATTGGTTGTAGCTGGTGATGTTTTGGTAGGCATCAGATTTTCTTGTCGGAGTCGGGAAGAAGTGAGGATCTGTGTGGCGAAGAGCTTGGTTGTTGGGAAAGCTGCTCTGGTTACCTTCAGTAGATCTAACATCTGCTCGTGTATCTTTAGTCAACTTTCCTCCCTGTTGTTGAGCACGACGTGCATCACTAATTCCTCTGGTACAGGACCCATGTAGTTCTGGAGGATCTGTTTGATGTGGCTGATCTTGGCTCCAGAATAGCTATGGATCTCCCAGTCCCTGAGGAAGGATACAATCCTAGTCAGGTTAGAGGATCCAGTAACCAGGGTCTTTACCATGGCGGGTGGTAGGTACCATAAATCCTTCTCGCTCTTACTTTTGTAGCTGTGAGGTTTCTTTAGGGATAGGTAGAGTGATCGCCTACATCTGGTGGAAGATCTGGTGGAAGATCTGGTGGTGATTCTAGGGTTAGGAATGATGGGCGATCTAGGGGACAGACAGTCGACAAGCACGTTCGGTGGCAATATAGATCCTGAGGAAGTAGGTGAGCCAGACACAACCCGGGGCGAACTGGTTGATCTAGCTGCACGCTTCGAGGGAGTGTTAATGCATGTGCCTTCTCAAGGGGATAATTTTCTCTTGTTGGGTGTGTTTCGTTTTGGTGTGTCCCGGAGAAGGTTGTGTGTAATGTGCATTGGTGATGGGGGAGGGTGCGTGACAGTTTTAGAGACCG